TGAAAGTAAGGTTTTCTCTGGCGATTCTTTGTGTTCCCAGTGTTTTCTGGTGATCTGAAGTTGTTTATTAGAATTATTGTTATTGATTGTGATAATTATATTAATATCAAAATACAGATTTGTCCTGTCGCTATATTCAGTTGTTGATGTATTATAGTCTAATTTCTAAGTAATGCTAGTTGTTAGTCAGTTGTTGCGACCTCTTTGAAAAGTGCGTACCTTGTTCTGGAATGTGTGCGTATTCATATCTAGTAACAATACTTTCAAACATTTTCTTCCAAGTAAGTGTATATCTTTTTCAACAATGAATATTCCCCTAACCAGTTAGTTAGCTGTTTTGAGACAAGTGTATTCGTCATAACACGAAAAACCTTGCCATTTCCTCATGAAGAGGATACTCCTCAAAAACATATAACTGGTGAAACACAATGTCAGTTTAACTAGCTTAACACTACTACTACCAGGCGGGTCAAAATGACCAATTCCTAATTTCTTCTTTTACAATTACTGTAAAGGTACAGACACTTCTTTAAGAAATGATTAAAGAAGCTGATTTAGCAATACCTAAACTGAAATAGAAGCCAATTGAAATCTTAATAAATTCACGCTTATAGCTTTTATAAAGAAATTATAAAAAGACGGTTTAACCCTTTGCGGACGGATGTCGACATTTCAGCGAGATCAAATTTCCGTATTTGAAAGACTAAGTCGTAAGCAAATGATATAATTACTCAAACAGCAAGAGACCAGCATGTAGTTCCCTTTCTTTCTACTGTTTAAGCAACTAACAGATAATATAGCTTCATCTACTGAAGGTTTTGCATATTTCGAAGAATCTTCGTCCGCAAAGGGTTAAGTACTCGATAGTTCCAGCGTTGAACACGTTCGAAAATGATAACTAGTCAATCGAAATGCACACGCGATCGAATAAGAAAATTCGGAAATGAAACTTGTTGAGAGGTAAGAGTATTTCGCTCGAATTTCGTATCGTGGACGAGAAATTCGTGGCGGCAGCCGAAAAGGAAGGAGGGCCGGATAACCGTATCCTTGCACTTTCGTTGCTTCGTTCTCGTTGCAGGCGGCGCGCATAATTAGACGCGCGCATGACCCATTAAACGCAAAGAAAGAAAGGCGCACGCGGGGGGAATCGATTCGACGTAGTTACGTGATGGTTTCCGCCGGGTGTATTATACGATGCGCGGGCATATTCATTAACGCCGCCGCGAGTTAACGATGCACGCTCCCGATTGTTTACGATGCCGTGGCACGGTTCTAACGAGGCTGACAATGGAGGCCCCGTGCGTAAGAATTGCATTTTAAATCGTGCATCGCGGCTTACTACGACGCGAGGCCCGATCCGATTATAATTTCTAATCGGGTCCGAAACGTTCCGAGCGACACGCAACTGTCCGAGGAAGCTACTACTAAACCCACACGACTGTTTAACAGCAATTTATAAATGTTTTTCTGTTTATTTAAATGGATATACGCGCACCCGAAGCTCAACGGAACGATTCCTTAAATTAAGCAATTCATTGAATTATATAATTGAAACGTGAAAAGATAGTTGGAACGGACAAGTCTTAGTAGAAGTTGATAGAGATTTCGGTTATGTTCGATCTACGAGAATCAATAACACGTTGAATGCCGCACGATTTCATAGAGCGAAATACACAAAATGAAAAAATATAATATTAAATCATTTGATTGAATTGCATTGTTATTATTGCACGTTCATCTGGCTGAATGTCACCGCACTAGGCAGTATTATTTATAATATAGAAATATTTTCAAATAATCATCGTTTAATTGAGTGAACTATAGTAATTTGATTTGGTTGGGGGCCATCGGTGATCCCCATGGCATTCAACGTGTTAATGAAAATATAATTGTTTGTATATGGTTAGAATGTTTTATCATGGAAAAATGGGAGGTGATAGTGAAATCCAAATTGTAACACTAAAACTTTCAAGAAATTAGAGCTTATTTCTAATTCTTTATCGAAATTAAGAGCATACGTTTCTTGAGATTCGAATCTTCGCGATTCAATCGCGAAAACGCCTTTATAATTGTGATACTGGCAAAATAAGAATCTTCTGAAGCAGGTCAATTTGACTCGTCCGGTAGTTGTAGTGCTAATAAAATTTGACGCAATTCTAAATTGTATTCGTATTGTAATAGTCATTGATAGACGTGCAATTGATTGCAGCTGACATCGTGGCAATAGCAAACGCAATCGCAGAAATTACAAATTCAACTGAAGGAATATTAACTAGAGTCGCCGTACCATTTTTAAAAATCGTGATAATGAATTGTAGTCGTGATCAGCCTTCTCAATGAACGTACCGCCGTTCCCCGTCTTTCGTTTCCGTTCAAGAAAATCGTATTAAACACGGTCGCGGGCGGGTGAATTCTAATTACGCGCGCAGCCGGCCCATTATCAAAGGAACGCATCGGAGAAAAATGTATCGCGGCGTGTTATCGCTGCGGTAAAATGTATTCGGCCGTTCGACAAGCTGTTTTCGCGATTAAAAATAGAACGGCAGTTAGGATTGTAGCTCGTGCTAAATTCCTCGTTAATTGGGTTCGCACGAACGAGAAAACGCGGCGGCGCGTCCGCGATGCTCCGCCGCGCGAATTTCCTTTTCTTGTTCATTATCGTTATCGCGGCTGGTTACAGCATAATGAAAATTGCGGCGTTGCGAAGCTCGCCCCTAATAACCATTTCATAATCGACGAAAGTGGAACGAATTAAAATTCGCACGATGAAAATTTACGAGAGGCAATATCAAATCTGATTGATTCCTTCAAGCTTTTATTAGTATATATTAGCTTCTCCGTGGAATGAAAGGGTCCTGTTACTGGGAATCGAATTGAAATAATTTCATGCTGGAACGGGGATAAAACTAATATTTGGTTTGAAGGTTGCGAATAACACTGGTCACTGAGAACATTCGATAATTAATGGGTTAAATGTTTCATTCATTGAATAATTCGTAAAAATGTAAAAGAATTTTAATATCACAAGTGCACGTTTACTTTAACCCTTTAAGACGGAATATGATTCTAGGTTTCTTTCAATTTCTTCTTAAGTTTCTTTCTGTGGTACAGATGATACTATAATTTGTTTGATTCGGGAATGTAGAATATATGATAATTAAATAATAAGGAAAATAATAAAGGCACGATATAGTTCCTGAAAAGTTAATAGCAAATGGAACAATAAATATGTAAGTAACATTGATTTGTGTTAAATCGAGCTGGAAGTCTTTTCGAGCTTCACTTAGGTAATTATGTGGTAAGGGGTTAATGTATTCGATGACGTTCGACGTATGCTGCATACGAATTTCGAAATTATGTGACCCCTGCAATTTTTAAGCGTTCCGACTGCGATTACTGAATGTCTTCTGTGGAAGGAACTTCTTTGGAAGTATTTGCAAATTATTCGAATTCGACTTTGTCAAGAGGAATGGAATTATTCCCATTGTCTAGACCTCAGGATTGATCTAATTTCTGTAAGTGACGATCGTCTGGAGAAGTTAATTGAAGAAGACCTTAACAAAGTTAAGAGGGAACGATGAACCGAGAAGCTTGATGCCATTTATTAATAGTTTGTCATATCTTCTGAAATAATAACCTACCAAACAGAGGCTAAACTTATATGTAATTCATTAAAAATCAAAGTGATGCGGTTTTATTGCTTTCTGATTACTACTATTATAACGTAAGAATCGTTGAGATTTTATAAATTAATGAACCGCTTGCACTGAAATTTTGCAATATCCAAATTCAAAAGTCGCAAATGAATGTATCAATTCTTATTTTCCATTCTCAAGACTTCGGTGCGCAATTCAGTTTTCAAACGGTTACAAAATTAACCCAGAATCAACAACAAAGATCCATAAGTCTACTAAAATCAAACGCATCGTTCAAGATATTTTCAATTGCTTCGAGCAGTAAGCATAGTTCGCCACCATCGCGTTCGACGGCACCATCGAATTTTTCACGATGCGGAGCGCAACAGCCGCTCGCATACGAACACGTCCCACATACATAAATGCATAAAAACTACGGTTCGGTAGCTGCCGATCGTTCTCTCACCTCTGGCGCTGAGGGCGATGAAGGTTTGCGCGTGCCTCCTGACCATCACTGGGTCCCAGGTACGCGGCATCGGCAGTCTGCTCAGGATGTGCATCAGGAAGTCGCCAGGCGTCACCGCGGATAATTCCCATTTCAGCTTCGAGACGACCAGCTGTTCCCACCTCTGCAACAATCGTAAAAGAGAACACGCATTTAGCTTCTTTCCGGTTATGCCGGGACTTAGGCAGAGGGTATATATGTATACTCTTCCGGTGAAGAGTTTGGGACCACTTGATATGCGACGAATTCAAAATTGCCATATACATGTATACCATAAAATAACAAAAATTATGTTTTATAAATATATCAAATAAAAGAACAAAAGTTATATATCCTTAGATTTGACTAATACAAGTTTGTCTTTCAACCGATGCATTGATCCCAAACTTTTGACCGATAGTGTACGTATGCATGTACACGTGTGCATATGTACTTTTAGGGGCTGCATAGGAATGATGCATGAAATTATGCAGATAAGGCTCGGTTCGTTTCGTGTATGATCCATACCCTGTGCAGTGTTCTTGATTTTATCCGCATTTTTGAGTGGTGCGTTTTTCTTGGCAACATTTTCCGTATTATATTCTTTGGTATTGTACATTTGTAATGAATTAAATTTCCGGTAAGTCGAATTAATAAGTTTTAAATCTGTTTAGATACTAAATGATTTTTAGTGTCTCATGTTTCTTTTTAGGAGACGTGTAACTATGCGGCCAATAATTAGAGAGTCTACCAAAAGTAGAAGAAATACTGAATATTTATAATTACTTGTAATAAAGATCCTATATAGCAAAGAACATTATTGTATACTCTATTAAAGTTTTCTCTACTACAAGTTGCAGGACATTGAAAGTAAAGTGAATGCACAAAATCATCATATTACTGAAAAATACTCAAGATCACATCCGTCGCATAATAGACAGGATATCCTCCTCATCCGCCATATTGAATATCTTTCAAATTATCCAAGACAAAGAGCGAAGATCCACCAAGCGTTAAATTTTGAAAATGAGAAGGTACGGTTACTTTCCCACCCGTTACATAAAGCGAAAATATCATCGGAAAAAATGAATTACATAAGGCGAAAGTAGAAGCTTCACGCTTTAGTCCGAACCGAGACAAAATGTCGTACACCTTTTTATTACGAAGTTACAGGATCTTAAAGATCATCAACTTCACGATTAAGCTAAAGCCCAAATAATGTAGTTACACATAAAACAGTCGAAATAGAATGATTTCATTATTTGAACAAATTAAGCCCATTTCTGAAATACAGAATCTACCAAAAGAAAAACATTTTCGAGTTCAAAGAGTTAATCGTATATATTAACTGCACTAATTAATAAATTAATACATATAATATCGTACACAAAAATAGTGAATATTCCTTACGTTTTAAAAATAATAACGTCGCATTAATGTATGCAACACACCCACAAAGAAAACCATAAAAACGGTTCCCATTTAAATAAATTATCACTTCTAAAGTACAGAATCTACCAAAGAAAACTTTCCGGTGCAAAGGGTTAATAGTTTACATTAATCGTACCAATCAATAAATTAGTATATCATAATAACGTACATAGCGTAAAAATAGAGAATATTCATTAAAACTAATGACATTCCATTATTGTATCCAACGCACACACACACAAGAAAACGACAAAAACGGTCCCCGTTTGAATAAATTAGGCTCATTTCTAGAAGACAGGGACCACGCAAGTTATACGTCTCCATTTCTAGGAAACGAGGCACTCAAAGTGTTAACTAAGAAAAAGTCCATTTAATTTCACCGGTGCTACCCGCGCGCGCGTACTTACACACGCTCTCCCGTTTCCCCCGTACGTATTCGTCGAGCGTTAAACCGTGGTTACACGTAT